ACCTACCTTTCAAATAATGTTGGATAAATTCTCGTATTTTTGGGACATATGGGAGAATTTGCTGCCTACAGGTCTCCAAAGATATCTTGGATGCATAAAGTAAACTGCATGTGTCTGTGGTCTGCAATATGCTATTCATTAACATTGTAATATCGCTTACTTCACTAATGTTTTTTCTTATTGCCTGGAATATTAATACCACATTTATAAAATCCTAGAAGAATTCAGAAAGAATGTTAAATTACACTTACGGTTTGCAATAATTCATGCACTAAACTTCCAATAACCAATGGTGTGGAATCTCCCATGAAAGGAGGCAGACTCTCCATCTTTCTAAACTTTTCACTTAAAACTGCCTTTCTTTTACAAAATAATGCACCAGATACTGTTGTCCCAGATATTAATGCATCTGGCTGAACAATAAGAAAGCCGCTACTGTTATCTATAATCCATTGGTTGTTTTCTTTTCTAGCTTGAATAACAACAATGTCATCTTTTTGTACTTTAGCATCCTTCCTAAATTTCAATTCGAGGCATTGAATTAAATATTCTATTTTAAATACACTATTGTAATTGTGCTACTTACCAGAAACCTGAACATCTAACGGTTGTATCAGATGTTCCACAGTCTTCTTGGTTCACAGTTAACAATATGCTATTGTACTCCCTTTGTACATCAATAATTTTACATCTCTGCAAGGAATTAAAATTAATTTGGCTAGTATTTAAACACCATTCTTCCTCGAAACTATCTTTAAAATCATCTGTAAAAAATGACTCTATTTCCGAATGAATTCCTTCATCCTTTTTATCACCAAACACAGATTGTTTCATATGATCTGTTTTGTTCTCTTTTATCAGATGGTTATCAGGCTGAATCTCTTGTAATAGTGCTTTCTTTTCCATTATTTGTTTTTTGTTTGATTTATACGTTGTGCTTATATATTCATTGGTACCTATATTTTCCTTCCAATCATATTCTGTTATAAAAATGTCTTCAGATATAGTTTCATTTATAGCCATGTCAGTATCGTTATTTTTACCAGAGCTATTGAATATATCAATTACATTGTCTTTATTTCCAATTGCAAGTCTTTGTTTTCTTGGAGTTTGATGTATGCTTTTTATGCTACATGCATCTGAAATATTATCACATTTTGCAATTTTAACTCGTGTTAAATCTGTATCTTCTGAAATCTTTCTCTTTCTTGGTGTTTCACGATTTACGGCATTGATTTCAATTGTACTATTCATTGTACTGCTATTACTTATACCTTTTGTAAAATAAACTGATATTTTCTTCTGAGAAAGTTTTGTGCCATTATTTGAGTAGCTCTATGAAAAAAAAAATCACACTGATAAAACAAAGATGTTCATGAACATGTTTAGCGACCAAAAAAATTGTTGGATAAAAGCTATATATTACTTTTGGTTTCGTTTACTGAAGGATAAATTTCAGGATGCAAATATGCACTGAATGCATATAAAAATATTCAAAATACAGTACTTGCTATATTTAATATACTTATTTATTTTTATTGCTTATTACTTGAATTAGCCACTAACAAATTTAAGTCATTTAGCTTATGGGATTTAATAGATAAAGTAATTCTTTACTTTTCTATCTTTTTAATTATATACATAAAAATATGAATATGCATAAATATCCATAAATATATATTACCTTAGCAGACTGACTTACTTTCTTCATTGTAAGTCTAATATTCAGATCTTTCGTTTTCAATGCAAGATTGTTCACAAAGATCAAACTCAAATAATGGATGATCTGCTCTAAATTCCGTAATATCATCCATCATCAATTCGCGCGCAATTTCTACTAGGGAATTAGGAATCATAGAATCATGCAATTACAAGAGGAGATATGGAAACGTATTCTATAGTGACTAGAGGAACTATACACATAGGGAATTTAGAAACATACTTTATTTTTGAAAGAAATATAACATAAAAATGAAAAAATGATATTTGTTGTACAGAATAAAAAAAGTGTTTAATAATGAAAATGCCTATTAATATTTCAATCTATAGTAAAATTTATGTATAACATTATGCATATTATCAGAATATATAACTATATAGTTGTAGTAGCTATATAGTAACTATATAGTTATTCAGGATGGTTGGTAACTGGTGGTACAAGCGGAAAGGGGGTGATTCTACGTGAAAAAAGAAGTCGAAAATATAGAATAAAAATTTTTCGTTTGAGGCTTTGTTTTCGAGAAAATCGACTTTGAATTTTCGCTCGGTACGCGAGCACTTTATCACGTCTCGTTATAACGGATCTCACTGCAGATCGTTGTCTCGATTGACGTTATGTTGATAAACACTTCCAATGTGACCGAAGTGTTTTCCTACCTATTAACTTACTATCCGACTTTTATCGCTATTCACTATCAGTACCTATTAGTCTACCACCATGTCTACATACAGCAATCGGGAATATACGGACATGATACTTTCGTTAGGTGTGTGTGGTGGTAACGCATCAGCCGCAGCTGATCATTACAGACACCGGTATCCCAATCGTCGACATCCTGACAGACGTGTTATTCAAAGAGCAAAACGAACCCTCGGCGAATATGGTTCTTTTGAAAAACTTAGACGACATGGTGGTCGTCGACGACGCGTTAGTATAAATGTTGAAGAACAAATAGTAAAGGACGTTTTGGAACATCCTGACATAAGTGCAAGAAAACTTTCTTTGCGGCATAATCTTAGTTGCTTCACGATTCTTCGAATTTTACACGAAAACAACTTACATGCTTATCATATCACCAGAGGACTCATGCCTCATGATAAGATTTCGCGAAAGGCATTTTGTCATTGGTTGCTTCAACAGCATACCAACGATGCAGAATTTCTGTTAAAAATTTTATGGACCGATGAAGCGAAATTTACAAGGGACGGCATGTTCAATGTCCATAACATGCATAATTGGCAAAATGAAAATCCTCACTCTATTCTTGAAACACATTTTCAAGTAAGATGGAACGTAAACGTCTGGGCTGGCATAATCGGACATCTAATTATTGGGCCATATTTTTTCGAAGGAAATGTAACGTCAGCAGCATATTTCGATTTCTTACAAAACAAACTACCGGAATTATTAGAAGATGTACCGCTGAGAACTAGAGGAAGTTTAATTTTTCAACAAGACGATGCACCGCCACATTTTAGTCGTCATGTGAGAGATTTTTTAAACCAACATTACCAAGGCTGGATTGGTCGTGCTGGAACAATAGCTTGGCCACCACGCTCTCCTGACTTAACTCCGCTTGACTTTTATTTATGGAACAATATTAAATCAATTGTCTATTCTGAAGAAATCGCAAGTTGCGAGCAATATAAATGTTGAAGAACAAATAGTAAAGGACGTTTTGGAACATCCTGACATAAGTGCAAGAAAACTTTCTTTGCGGCATAATCTTAGTTGCTTCACGATTCTTCGAATTTTACACGAAAACAACTTACATGCTTATCATATCACCAGAGTACAAAGACTCATGACTCATGATAAGATTTCGCGAAAGGCATTTTGTCATTGGTTGCTTCAACAGCATGCCAACGATGCAGAATTTCTGTTAAAAATGTTATGGACCGATGAAGCGAAATTTACAAGGGACGGCATGTTCAATGTCCATAACATGCATAATTGGCAAAATGAAAATCCTCACTCTATTCTTGAAACACATTTTCAAGTAAGATGGAACGTAAACGTCTGGGCTGGCATAATCGGACATCTAATTATTGGGCCATATTTTTTCGAAGGAAATGTAACGTCAGCAGCATATTTCGATTTCTTACAAAACAAACTACCGGAATTATTAGAAGATGTACCGCTGAGAACTAGAGGAAGTTTAATTTTTCAACAAGACGATGCACCGCCACATTTTAGTCGTCATGTGAGAGATTTTTTAAACCAACATTACCAAGGCTGGATTGGTCGTGCTGGAACAATAGCTTGGCCACCACGCTCTCCTGACTTAACTCCGCTTGACTTTTATTTATGGAACAATATTAAATCAATTGTCTATTCTGAAGAAATCGCAAGTTGCGAGCAATTGAAAGAAAAGATTATTGTAGCCTTTCATACTTTAAAACAATCGAATACGCTAGAAAGTGTTCATAGAAATTTAATTAGAAGAGCAGAAGTATGTGTTCGGCAGAATGGGCAGCATTTTCAGCAATTTTTGTAATAATAAACTTTATGATTACTTCATATTATTTCATTATGTATTCCTAATTTTCCATTACGGCAAAAACAAACTTAAACTGCGATAATATCTATCGAGACAACGATCTACAGTGAGATCCGTTATAACGAGACGTGATAAAGTGCACGCGTACCAAGCGAAAATTCAAAGTCGATTTTCTCGAAAACAAAGCCTCGAACGAAAAATGTTTATTCTATATTTTCGACTTCTTTTTTCGCGTAGAATCACCCCCTTTCCGCTTGTACCACAAGTTACCAACCACTCTGTATAGCTGATACAGATATTATATTCGCATAAATATTTGAAATTCAAGTAATTAAATACATAATATGTAATTATATTCAGGATGTGTAAAATAATACAAATTTAAATATAATCAGGAGAGGTAAATGAGACAACGTAATATGAATTTGGAATAAATTCAGGCTTTCAATTTTAAGGTGCTGTAAAATAGAGACGAACTGTCAAAATTAATTTTTTAAGCGGGAGGCAACTCAATATAAATTTGTTGTACAATGATATCTGATGATATACAGCTATCCGTGAAACAACCATATTACATGATCATGATTTATAATTAATGATTATCCGCCAACAATTAAAACACCACATGCTCAGTAATGCTGCTACGCTACCTACTGGTGAAAACTAAAAGTAAAGTCATTCAAGACGATTTATGCAATTTAAATAAGCTACACTGCAATTGTGAAATTGTTCAATATTTGTATACTATAATCTTGTTTAAATATTGTATTATGTATGTTGTATATATTAATAAATATATTTTTCACCTTCTATTAAATAAAAGTCAGTATCGTACCCAGTAATCCCTAGCAATGTAGATTGAAAATTACTTCTTTATGTATTAATATCATTGTTTCTGAAACAATTATATTCATCTTGTGGTATATGTATTTACATATGTCAAATGACCTAAGGACTATAACATTGGATGAATATCCATCTCTCTTAGGTGATCGATTGAACTTTAATGTATATTAAATCTTTATCATTCGTAGTCTATAGGATCCTAACCTATTGAAAAAGGTGAATGAAGGATGAAAGTTAAATTGAATTTATTCGTTTATTTCATAAATAAATATTTCAATTACAATAATGTGATATATTATTCGCAATCGAAAACTCTGTTTGATAAGACGGAGATTAATTTTAAAAATTGGGAGGAAGAGCTAGAGAGAACGATGCAAGTTCTCCCAAATTTTATCACAGTTGACGAAGAAAAGTCATTAATGGAAGAAATTGATCCTTATGTGAGGAGACTAAAATATGAACAGTCGCATTGGGATGATGTTAGTATAATTAAATTGAACCATCACTATTTCTATGAAATTTTAATTGTATTTCGCTAAATTGATTATTATAGGCAATACATAATTATAGAGAAACGGAAAAAGGCAAATGGAACAATGATAATACAAAGATAATAAATAGAATTCGAGAGAAAGCATTTTCTAAAGATATGTCTCAGATTTCACTGATACATATTTTAGACTTAGCACCAGAAGGATGGATAAAGCCACATGTTGATAGCATTAGAGTATGTATCTTACTTTTTAATTTCTAACACAAGCAGAATTTACATAGATAGAATTTTTCTTCATAGTTCTGTGGAGAGATTATTGCTGGTTTAAGTTTATTAACTGATAGCGTAATGAGACTAAAAATGGTTGATAATGTAACTTTATATAAAGATTTTCTATTACCAAGAAGATCTCTATATATAATGAGGTAAGAGTAGTGATTCCTTAATTATTTATATTATTTACATTATATTATTATATATTATATTAATGCAAATCATATATATTATTTATATTATGTACTTTAATTCATTTATATTATCTGTTATCTTCACTTTATAGTGGTGCAGCTAGATACAATTATAATCACGAAATTCTAAAAAATGAAGAATCTTTTTTTAAAGGACAACATATACTAAAAGGCAGACGTATTTCAATAATATGTAGATGTCAACCACAACGTGATGCTTAGTACCATACAGTTGTACATAACTGTTTCAGAAAGTTATATTGTACATATATAAAATATATTATTTAATACATTATAAATAAAAATGATTTAATAGAAAGTAAAAGAAAATATATATATATATATATTCTTTTAGGCACGTGAACTCAAAGATAAATATATACAAATGATCACGTGACGCTGCATTTATTGGTTAATAGTCGCTAGTATATTGTAATCTTCAGAGATGATTTTAATTAATATTTTAAAAAATGTTTTAATTGAGCGGCTGAACTTATTTATTTAACTTGTAGTAAAATATGCTTAAGAGGATAATGTTTTGAAAAATAACTTTTTATTTTATATCACAGAATTTTGAATATGATGTAATTTCCCCTAGATTTTGATTACATGGTTTTATTTATTTTCTCTCGCCAATCTCATTAGACTCTCTTTTATAATAAAACTAGATCATATTTTATAGTGAATTTCAAGGTTAAAAATCCAAATCATGAATGTTGATATACAGAAGTAATATGAATATTTTAAATCATGTTCTCGACGGAGATTAGAGACGCGTTAGCCACAACCGCCTCGATTTGCACGGTTTTACAATTTTTAGCCGGCGTGTAAGTAAAAATACGAGCCTTCAACAGACTTACTCTTATGAAGAAAATTTTAAAATATAGTTGTATAATTTATTGTCATAATCATGAACAATAAGATCACAAATTATAATCATATAACTTCATAAAACTTTCTTTTGATAATGATAAGAAAAAATCTAAAGAAATAAGCATTAATTCTCTTTTGTTACACTCAACAAATTCTATTATCTTACAATGAAATCAGAAAGTTACAAAAGTATGTTTTAGGCTAGTATGCAGAAAGATCATTAAAAATGGCAGTACAGGAAATAGTTCAATTTTGGCATTTGTAACATGTTATACATCGTAAGTGTTATACCTTTTTGATTTTAAAAACAGTTTATTGCTAACAGATGTTAATTTCCCTTAATGATTGTTCATTTGATCCTCATATCACTGCTTAATTTATAAACATTTTAATGACTCTTAAACATTTACTTAACGTTTATTATTGGAGTCAAGTTCTTGTATAAAATGTTACAGATGTGTCTTGTGGATGAGATACGGTATGCTTATTGGAGATCGATTTATATTGTTAGTGAATGTTTTTGGCTCCATACTCCAAGCATCTTATGTTTACATATTTATTTTGTATAGTGTACAAAAATTTAAACCAATAAAACAAATGATTGCAGCAACTTGCTTCCTTGGAGTTGTGTACTTTTATAGTTTTTATGAGGAAGACAGAGCATTAGCTGCAAAATATGTTGGTTTCCTTAGTTGTATATTAACAGTATTATTTTTTGCATCTCCATTAATGATGTTGGTAAGTCTCCCAATTTTTTCAGTTTATAATAATTGCTTGGCTTGAAGAAGAGATAATGGAATAAAATATTTTTTAGGCACATGTGATAAGAGTTAAAAGTACAGAAAGTTTACCATTTCCCATTATCATGGCTTCTTTAATAGTTTCTTGTCAGTGGTTTGCATATGGTTGCCTTCTTAATGATCGATTCATACAAATACCAAATTTCTTAGGCTGTGTATTATCTGCATTTCAACTTTGTTTCTTTTTAGTTTATCATAACGATAAATCTAATGAGACTTACTTAATATAATATTAACAAATATATGTCACGTATTATGTACTGTAAACAAATAAATATATTTTTTAACATATTGATCATAAATTAAAATACATGATTTGTACTCTCAAAGAGAAATATATTTTTGAAATAATTAGTCGACTTCTTAATTGAAAGAAAACACTACTTATTCTTCAAATTTGATTTCTTGCCGCTAAAAACTGCTGCTACGAGATTTCTCAAACACTTCTGTTGGCACTATAAAATTCCCTAAATATCAGAATAAGAACTAATAAATACACAATTTATAAAAATGCAACGATGGCATTAAATAATATCTTATTTCTAAAACCAAACAAATTACATAATACATTTATAACAAAAACTATTTTCCATGTATTAAACCTACAAATTACTTTTCCTTTCTACTTCTAGTAAATCTATAAATTACTTTCCTTTTCTTACTTTTTCAACATATATTAATTGATAATTCGAGCATATATCATTATACTTTTTACATTTTGTTAATATAAAAATATAAAATATTCAAAAACAAACAACTTCATAATGCTTAAAAACCACATTAGTGCTTCATCTGAACTCCGTATTAGTCATACATCTGTTCTAAATATACCAAAACAAATATTGTTTAACTGTTGCAAAATTACTACTCATATTCTAAAAAATCTTTCTCGCATTTTGCTGTTATAATATCGTTCAAGATAATCGATTTTCTCCTAAAAATGCTGCTTTAAAGGCGGAAGTTGACGGAACGTATATATTGGTGAAACACATTAGTGGAGTTCCGGGGCGGGCCGGTTGGCAGCACTGGCAGAGGTGGTGGCGAGAAGAGAGAAAGAGGTGCGGTGTTGCGTGACTGATTGCGAGTCCGAGCGTGTGTGTTTGTTGTGTTGTACGAGGAACAAATTTGTACTTCTCTTATTTGGGAAGAAAACGAGGAAAACAAAAAAAAAAGGAAAATAGGGAAAACCGTTTCGCTTGATCTTTGTTTTTGGGGGAAATAGACCGCACGTTTGGAAGAGAAAAGAATCATGTCGTCGTACATCCAGGTTGCCGAGGACGAAGGCGATGAGCCGATTGAATTGCCGACTGAGGACGATAGCACACTTTTATTGACTACCGTAACCGCCCAGTTCCCCGGGACATGTGGCCTGAAATATCGGAATCCAGAATCTCGGACGATGCGCGGCATTCGTCTCGTTGACGGGCGTCTTCATCCACCGGAAAATGGATGGGGCAAGGCGATTTACTTCTGTGTTTTTCCAAAAGGTGCTTATTTCACTATGAATCGTTGCTTTTTCGATCGCCCTCTCTCTTTCTCTCTCGTTCTCTTGGTGTATATATATATATATATATATATATATATATATATATATATATATATATATATATATATATATATATATATATATATATATATATATATATATATATATATATATATATATATATATATATATATATATATATATATATATATATATATATATATATATATATATATATATATATATATATATATATATATATATATATATATATATATATATATATATATATATATATATATATATATATATATATATATATATATATATATATATATATATATATATATATATATATATATATATATATATATATATATATATATATATATATATATATATATATATATATATATATATATATATATATATATATATATATATATATTTCTCTCCCCTATTTCCTCCCCTCCTTCTCCCCACTCCTTTTCAAAAATGTACTAACGCCACACGAATCAAGATCAACTATATGTATATAGTATGCTTTTGCATACTGGAGGAACAGAAATATTAATACACACATAGATTGGTTTAGAAAACTTTTGTATGAATTTTGAAAACTGTAGTTAGATTATGGATTTTTATGTAAATTTATGTATTTTTGGGAATGTAATTGGAAAGGTAGAATCTCGTAAATGTAGAAAATTGGTTTACTTTTTAAATATTGTAGATAGCACTATGATTTAGATGTTCTATATATATTTCCATTTTATATGCATTTTGTACAATTTTGCAGTTTCAAATTTATAAATGCATAAAAATCCGCAGTCGTGTAATTTTGCAGTTTTTTTTTTTTGTAAAATGTAAAAAGTAGGGGTTGAGAATTATTATGACATCAGTTTTGACTCTTGAAACATTATTTCATAAAATTTTCATACGAATTTCAAGAAAAATTGTTACATGTCACCTAAATTTTTACTTTGGTTATGATTCTTATGAGGGTTTCATATTGATTTTAAATGACTTTTTTTGATTCTAAATCTGATCTAGCATCAATTCTTTTATTGATTTTATGATTTCCGAAATTGTATGTTTTGATGAAAGTAGTTTGTGGAATATTTATTATTATTTATCTTTATTATACTATTTATTATGATGTATATTTAAGATTTAAATTCGAAAGTTATGTTTTGCAGATTTGTATGGGATTTTATAACTAAATTTAATATGTGTTGGTATTTCTGATCATCACTATATATTGATTAATGTGAAACTTAAAAGTTTCTTAAACTTATCAATTGTTTATAACAAATCGAAGCTTTTTTTATTCTTGTGAGTTTAGTAATATTATTGTTGCTAATGCTTGATCTTGAATAATTCATGTTGATCTTATTATGATCTTCAGACTGCAGATGTTTACGCAAATTTACGTTTTTGTGAATGTAACTAAGTGAAGTTGTTACAGCTACTAGCTTGAATATTACATATACTTGTTCAGATTACACAAAATGCATGTTATGTAATTTTATATTTAAATTTCCTATAAATGCATAAACATCCATAGTTTAATGGTCATTTTACTCATATACTTATCTTTTTCGAAGTCCAGTACATGTGTTTGTGTTTGTTATATTTTGAGCTTTCAAATCCGTCCTCTCTTCTTTTCCTTTTTTCATGATTTATGTTTTTTCTATTTTTGTTTTTACTTTTTTTCAATAACATAGAACTTCGCCTTTTTGCATATTGCATAACTTTTTTGTTAATCCTCTGATTCCCATAACTCAGACTAGGATACAATGTGGAAAATATTTGTTAATTTCTATCTCTACAAATATATTTTAGTATATACATAAAATTTCCTTTTCCCATTATTTAATGTAAACAGCAAAAGCTTTTATCTATAGAATAAAAAAAAGAATGAGATAATGCAAATAACAAAATCCTGGAATTACAATATTAATTCTACATTTCATATGTATATAAAAATTCAAGTATCAAAAAGCTAGTATTTTTATACAAATTTATTATGCAAATTACATACTGTATATTTTTTTGATATTGCAATACTGTAACTGATCGAGTAATCAAAACACATTTTCTCTACAAAAACAAGAAAAATCAAATATATCAAAGCAGCCATTAGAGTTCATTAGTATCTATAAAGTATCGATTTGCTTATGTTGTAAAGCAGTTGAAGGTACATATGGGAATTGGAGGGTCAAATACTTATATTTATTTCTAAATAGTTTAAAAAATTAGTTTCTTATTAACTTTGATCATTTACTACATCTAGTGATATTAATGTAAGCATATGCTAATATTCAACTGAATGAATGAACATTCACAGACCTGGATTATAAATATGTTAGCATTGTATTCTTAACTCATATTATTAATAACGTCTATAAATATCTATATATTTATAGCTAAAGTTTGTTTACATCTATGTGAGAGTATAAAATTATACATAGATGTGAACCTGAATGTTTAATATAATTGTGCGCGCGCGCACACACACACACACACATACACACCCATAGTCACATACGTATACAGTACGACACAAATTTTTTGTATTTTTTGAAAAGTAGTTATTTGTACTGGATTTCCATACTTCTGTTTTTTTATTATTATTTTTATTACAGTTGCATTTATTTTTTCTCTCTTTCTTAAATTATATATATATACGTGTAGAATCTTGTGATATGACAAACTTTTTTCGGATGAAGTTCTAGTAAAATGAAAAAAAGTTAGTAGACATGAACACTTATATCTTTTCAGAGAACAAACGTAAATCTGATGACAATTTGGAAAATTCCACAGCTAAGACTAAAAGAATGGAAACAAAGTTGCGTTGCACAGACTTGATCGTACTTGGTTTACCATGGAAAACAACCGAGCAGAACTTGCGAGAGTATTTTGAAACATTTGGCGAAGTACTCATGGCACAAGTGAGTTTCTCAATTTTTTCCTTTCACCTTTTTTTTTCTGTTCTTATTTAAATATTCCTAAAGAACATGAAAAAAGAGGGCATTAAAAATAGTTCAGTATCGAATAGTGAATTAAAATCTTGAAAATAATTACAGATTAAAATTTCATTTCAATCTAAATTTTGTTGTAGGTTAAAAAAGATGCAAAGTCAGGACAGAGCAAAGGGTTTGGCTTTATTAGATTTGGAAGTTATGAGTCTCAATTAAGATGTCTTGCTCAGCGACATATGATTGATGGGCGATGGTGTGATGTCAAGGTTCCCAATAGTAAGGTAAGAGCATCATTATGTTCATTGAAAAACATTAATTGTTTCTTCATGTATCTGCAAGTAGCTATGAAATGTTTAATTATTTAACAATTGTTTAAGATCTTAATACATATATGTAGGTTATTTGCATGCGAATCGTAGATCTGTACCCGCGTTTCGTACTATCCAATTTATCATGTACCAATAATGTAATTTTCTGATAAATAATTATTCACAAAAATTAATATATTCTTCATTTATTTCTCTATGAAATAATACAAATATAAAATAATTTTGTACTATTTCTTTGTTCTTTAAAGTGATTTAGTAAATATAATAAAGTAATGCATATTATAAAAAAGATGTCCCAAAAATTATAAAAGCAAAAAAGTTGTTAATTAAGTAAATGGCAAAATTACTTTCTTGCAATGAAAGACAATATCTTTATAAGAATGATTTTTCTATATATATTTTGTATAGATCTATGATGCGCGCTGTAAGATATTAGTCGAACTATAAACAACAGTACGAATTATAAAAAAGATAAAAGAATGATTAAGAGGCCTGACTAAGGCACAGACGCGGATGGAATCTTGGTTGAAAAAGTTCTTTTCTCTATTCTGAATC